CTGTGGGGGCTGGAATCCCTGTGGAGCAAAGCTGGGGGCTTTGAGGCACACAGAGAGCCTCAGAGTTGCTGTATGCTGCAAAGCCTTAAAACCCTCCTTAGGTGGCCCCACAGGGATGGCTGCATTGTGTAGAGATGCTGGTGGGGCACACCAGCATTCAGTGAGGCTCTGGGGAGCAGTGTGGAAGGTGTGCCTCGCCGAGGTGTGAGCCAGCCAACCAGTATCTCCTCTCAGAACTGGGGCTGTGCTCTGTCCCAGCACTGCGGCGATCTGGATTTCTCCCCACAGCCCTCTGTCGGGGTTTGGAGGTGGGAGAGGTGCACCTCTTATCCTTCCACAGGTCTCCAGTTCAGCTGGTTGCCAGGCCTCATTGGGAGGGATGTGTTGTACTTAGGACCGAAATATCTGTGGTTGTCAGTAGGTGTGATGGCTTTGTGGCAGTGGAGCTGTGTCTCTTCTTGTACACTGTAAGCTCTTGGAATAGGGGCCCTTTGTGCACCAAAAAGCACTTGTAGATTGTATAATGAGGTGTGCAAATAGCATTGCAGACCTACATGTGGACCTGATCTCAAGATCTTGGGCAGAATTTGGTGTCACATGTGGCTCAGTGTCTCTGTGCCCTGGCACCCACATAAAGGAGTGACAGCAGTGTGCCGAGATGGATGTTGTGGTGGAGTGCAGTGTTTTCAGCAGAGATTCTTCATAATAAGGAAGATGAAACACACTGAATGGCACCAGGACCATTGGCTCAGCCACATGTCCAGAGAATCCTCCATCCCTGGAGCTACTGTTGTGCTTTTCTGGGTTGTGACAGCTGTGCACAGGAAATCTGCTCAACAGCAACACACCAGCAAACAGCTTCCTGCTGGGGAATGCTGCCAGTAGGAGGAGTGAAGCCTTGGGAAGCAGAGGACCAAAAAGGATGGAAGCTTTTCAACCTGGTGGAAGGCAGAGTTCCAACTTTTTCATTTGACCAGTGGAGTGAAATGGACTGTAATGGCAGTGGAAACAGCGCTGATGTACCCTTGTGTCTTCAGGGGCAGCCAGCCACCACCAGCACTGCAGCAGTTGGTCCCTCTGCTGTGGTCTTGCCCCAGACCACCAGCACTGTCCCCAGTTCTTGGACATGATGTGAGGGTCATTGCGAGCCTCATGGGCCAGGGGTTCTGCATGCTCTCCTGGAGGCAGAGGGCAGCGGTTGGACACAGCTGGACTGGGTTATGCAGCTCAGAGCAGGGAATGACACTTTCTGTCTGCTGACATCTGTATGGCTGTGAGATTGCATCTGCTTGGCATCCCAAGGGCAGCCGTGGGTGGGTACAGAGCTGTGCTTCTGCTGAGCTTTCTGTCTGCCCCATCCGCTCCATGGAAGAGACATCTAGCCCCATGCTGAGTCTCAGGTGACAAAGGAGATCTTTGCTAGAAGGACTTGTGGTTCTGCTGCTGCCTGGCTCCATGGCCATTTCATCCTGTGCAGAGTGCTGCTGCTGAGGCGCAGCACCAAACACAATGAACATCTTCATGCTCTGTCAGCACAGCTGGCAGGATAAAACCTTGGTGAAGACAGAGCACTGTTAGCTGTGAGAAAGTGGTGCTTTGCCTGTGGTGCCACTTGGTGCCCGTGGCGTGGGGCTCCTTACAGCATCTGTTGCTTCAACTAGGGGCACAGCAGCAGCACAAGCACCATGCAAAGGGCAGTGGGTTCACCTTTTCCATCCTAGCAGCCCATGATGAGCTGAAGGGACCACAGCACAGTGAAATAACTTCTCTTCCCCTGACACAGCTTGTTTTGTGCTGACTCATAAATGGCACTGGTTGTTTTTCAGTGCAGCTGCCTTACAAGGACAGCTTAAAAAGTCAGAGGGAGATGTTTTCTTTTAGACCACCAGTGCAAACAAATGCAAATTGTATGGAGGTGCTGAAGCTGTTTTATTACATTCCCATGTGAGCAGTTGTTGGTGTTAGGTAGGAAGGAGATCTCTCCTTCCAAAGCTCCATCCCTTAAAGTCTGTCATCTTTCAGCTCTGGCTGTGAAATCTTGGGTGCGTGGAAGAACTGCCATGTTCCTCCCTGCGAAGAACTGCTGCAGAGCCCCTGGGTGCTGGCAGCAATCCCACGGGTGTTGGGCTGTCCCAAACTGCACAGGAATATCTCTGAAAGTGGTTCTCACTGGCTACAGGGCTGCTTCCCCTTTTGGCACCAGCCAGCCATCAGAGCTGCTTCCAACTGCTCACCTCCTTGCTCCCTGCCCTGGACTGAAGCAGAAAGCAGGTTCTCACCTCATCCCCTGTCCTTGTCCATTGTGATTTACACCAGGGGGAACAACAGGAGGAACCCAGGGATGCTGTTATTCCTGGTCTTCAGGGCCACTCCTTTCCAGAGCTGCTGAAGAGCAAAAACAAAATGCAAACCTAATTCTTGAGCTTTCTGGGACACAGAAAAGCTGAGGTGAGCAGGGACCACTGGGATCAGTCAGACACTGACTGGAGCTATTCTGCTTTTCTTCTGGACAGACTCATGGCAAGGACAGCTAGCAAGAGGCACTAGATGGCATGCTGACAGTTTGGGGGTTATGTTCCTTTAGGGCATGTCCTTTAGAACATCTCAGGACTCCTCTCTGCACCTTCCACACTGTCAGGTGTAGGAGCTGATGGAGGTGCAAGAACCACTCTTGGAGAAGTGGGATCTCTGGGTTGGTGACGGTGACATCTCTGGTGACAGTCACCAGACCTTGGAGGCTGCATGGAGGAAGGTGCTCTTCCTGTCTGCAGTTACAGCAGTGCCCTGTGTGCTCAAGGTCTGCTTCCTTCTCCTCACCATGTCTCCCTGCAACTCCAAGCAGCAGGACCTTTGCTGTGTGGCTTCTTTAGGGTCACTGTACCCTAGACTGCATCAACTCCACTAAGCTCTGAATAACTACAGAGGAAATCCACGTGGGCTAGTGCATATTGGATATGATGTATGTCTGCCCAGGGGGATGGATCCTGACCTAGTGCTTCAGTTCTTCCTGGCTGGAGTCTGTGCAAGCCCCCTCCATGGCTGCTGTAGCTATGGGACTTGGGGAGGGCCGTGAAGCCCTGAGGACCCTCTCCTTCACACAGCTGTATCACTGCAGGGAGCGCTTTCCTGCCTTGCTGCAGTGCCAACTCACTGTGCTGGCTGAGGGATGCAGGAGAGCATCATTCTCCTCTCCAGCCAGGCGCCACCCACCTCCCCCAGCGCTGGTGGTGTGGGCATGAGGTGCTGGGAAGGGACAGCCCCAGCTCAGTTGACCTTGGGGGTCAGCTTGCTGCACACTTGCGCACCAAGTGTGATAAATATGGGATCCTGCAGGACCCACACAAATAAATACACTATTTCCACTGATTGATGTCTCACTGTAATGCAGTTAACACTTAGTTTCCACAGTGTCCTTCTACGAGGCTTGACTTGGGACTGCTGTACTGTCCTAGTGCCACTCACTGCTGGACAGACTGTTTTTTCCAGCTCTTGGTCCACAGTGGCAAAAGAGAGATCCTGAAAACACGGGAATGGCTGGAGCTGGCTCTGGGCCTTTCCAGTTTGTTGTGAGATTTGTTGGGCAATGGGGAAGAGAATTCAGTGCCTTTCCGACAGCTCTTGGATCCAACAGGAAAAAAGGCTGCAAAAACACTGAAGGTTTAGTGTGCGTAGATTAGAGACAAAAATAGCAGGATGTGCCACGTAGGGTCAGACCATCTGAGAGTTTTACTGAAAAACAGCCTTACCACCCAGGTAGTCTTTTCATCAAATCTTTACATTCAGAAAAGCTCACTCAGCATCAGCAGGGCTGCTGGAGATAGAGCAGGATTAAAGTCAGGGCTTACAAAAGCTCAAGGCAGTACTGCTCCCTTCTGATCTCTAAAGGCTACAGCTGCTCTGGGCCAAAGGCACAACTTACAGTGTCCTTCTTGGTCTGATCTCGCCCTCAAACAATGTGATGTTTTCTGTCTTCTGTTGGGTGGCATCTGCCAGTGCCAGTCAGACATCCTCCTGCGCTACTGGCCTGAATTTCACTTCTGTTCATTTATGGGAGTAATGGCATTCTTTGCCTGTCTTCCAGTTGATGCTGTCAGCACAGCTCCCACGTGCACCCAGCCGGTACGTGCTGCTGAGGTTAGAGGCATGTGTGGCAGTCGTTGCACCACCACCCTCCTTGGAGACTGTGGCACAGTTGAAGGATCTCATGTCATTGCCCTGATCTGCTGTTGAAAATGACATGGCCTCATGCTATGATAAAGAGTCTCCTGCAGGGAGAACACACTCACAGTTACTGCAGTAGTGCAAAAGGGAACCTCGTGTTCCTGAGCACCAACTGCAGGGCAGCAGGGGCCTGGTTGGATGTAAGGCAGTTTGTTTGAATCCCATTCTCTTGGTTGCCTGCATAGTGGTCACCCAGAAAAGGAGCGGTATCCTGAGTTCTGCTAGGACTGCTAACACACGCAGAGAACCCACCTATGGCTGTGCAGCACATGGGCCAGATTCTGCCTGCAGTCACACAGGTGTCCACTTTCTTGCACCGCTTGCATTCTCTGCACTTTCTGAGGTCTGGACCAGCAGACAGTGTACAAAGCTCATAAACCCAGAGCACTGCTATCTCACTTGTTGGTTTCACTCGTTCCCACGTGAAGGATATTGAATTTTGCAGAGGATTTGTATGTTTTTTAAGAAGAAACAACACAACCCCAACATACCAGGTAACCTGATTCTGCATTTCTTGCTAAAGTACATGGCAGGGCTTGTAGGTAGCACTCTGGGTCACACATTTGCAGGGGGTGCACATCCCTTTCCTTCCCTGCACCCAGAGGTCACTGCATCTGGGTCACTACAGGCAGTTTTTAAGTACTGACCCAAAATGTAGGTTGTGCAAGGACTCTATGTGACACTGCTCTAGGCTGTAAATGCTGAATGTTACTGAAATGCTTTGGGAAAGTCCTTCCCAGTAAGTTGCTCACTTACCAGCATTCCCACCGAGGAAGTCTCCCAGAACCAGTTTGTATTTCTCAGACTCTCCTAAAACTTGGAAGGAAGCATACTTGGCAAAATAGTAGCTGTTGTTGAAGTCTCTCAGGTCAATGCTCCTAAAAGAGGAGGAGGACAGTGGTTCTGTTGGGCTGGTGGTAAGCATTCAACCGGGATTCAGAAGATGGGGTAAAGGAGCCCTCAGCTGACTTGAGAGGAGCTGCCACTGCCGGAGAGATTGTGATAGACGTCAAATTCCTGCAGAACTGCCTGTCCTGTACATCACTGTGAATCCAAGGCTGTCTGTGGGCAACACGACTGTTCTCACAGTGTCGACAGGGAGATGTGTTATCTCCAGGATAAGTCATGCAGGCAGCTCATTCAGTTCTCTGACTTCTCTTTTTAGAGTGAATATCTGTGGTGCATTGGGCTGCAGGGCCTGCATGCTGGTTAGGATTACCTTTGGGGCCCAGGAGGAATGTGGGATGCTCAAGTCTGTTAATGGCAGTGCTGTGCAGTGATTGCATTCTGCCCCAGTCCGGGGAGCAGGCAGCCCTTACCCAAAGAGGTGAGGAAGTGAAGGTTGTCATTCCCCAGCCAGAACTCCGTCAGCTGGTTGCCAAATCCTCGTTTGTATGAATTCCAGTCTCGCAAAAAATTCACTGACCCATCCAAGCGTCTCTGGAAAACCTGTGGGAAATGAGAAGTCCATCCCTGCCAGTCGTTCTGCTCCAGAAGCCCCACTGCCTGCCTGCTGGTGGCATGGCCTCTGCAAAGCCCCACTGAATACACCACTCCAGAGGGCAGCTGGGAGTGCTGAACCTGACTGCAGATCTCTCTTTGCAAATTCCCTTCCTCTGTGCTTGGAAATGAGGAGGAGTTTGCTGGCTGAGCAGGAATGGGTGGGTTTGGGGTGCTCAGCCTGCTCCCAGACACGTCTCCCAAAAGAATCCCCTGCATTCACCCAGGCTTGGTCATAGGAACTTCAGCTGCCCTCTCCACCCGGCTTCACTTCTCCTTAGTGCCTTCCTCCCTTTTTATTGCTATTTTAGTGCTATCATTTGAAGTATCAATAAAAATCACAGTAGGGAAATAAAAGCTTCCCTCTCCCCATCCTACTCACAATCCATCCTCCACCATCCGTGTCCATATCGCAGAAGACAGTGGTAGCATTGCAGCCTTGGGGGTGCACGGTGTACCATCCGTTCAGGATCTTGCCTTTATCCAGCAGCTCCTGGCAGTTCCTGGCTTTTGAGCAGACTAGAGAAAGAGTGGAAGTGGAAGGAGTTACAGTGTGCTCACTGCAACAGAGAGCACTACAGCCCCAAGCCCAGCCTCACGGGTGTGCACCTACGTCAGACAAATCCCGCTGCTCCTTGAGCCTCTAATCACAGGGTGATGGGCACTTTCTAAAAGATAGATGTGCTCAGATCTCCCTCATCTGCAAGGAGGCTTTGGAGAGTCTGAAGATGCGCTTACCAGATGTAGGTGTCCTTACCAACCCCAGCCTGCAGGGATTACAAGGAGCCACACACAAGCTGCACGTGGCTGTGAGAAGCAAACAGGCCTACTGCTATTTCCTTACTCTGCGTTTTGGTGTCACTACAAACTGGTTACCGCTGCTGCCTTGTCCTGACCTCTGGTGCTGGGCTTCTGCCTCCTTGCTGTCATTGCTGTGCTGTTCCACAGTGCTGATGGTGGCACAAAAGGCCCAGGACAAAACTCACCAAAGGTTCTGGAAATGCTGGCTCTCCTTTTGCTCCTGTTGGGCAAACAACACCATGGATTTCTCTCTGCCTTCCACATCTGGTCCTTCCTTCTCCCACAGCAATGCTGTTTGCTTTTCGAGCCAGATCCTGAGCCCCAGCCCCACACCCAGCCATGACACCCAGCACCACCAGCACCAGCCCCCGCTCAGCCCATTGCACAGCTGTGCAGGGATGCAGCATGGTGTTGGATGCAGAGGAAGGGGATTTTGAGACTGCACAGAACTTACTGTGGGATGTTGAGGGTGGGATCCAAAGGTGCAAAAAAAGGACAGATTTAAGTCATTTGGGAAGGAGGGAGAGGAGTAGGGGGGTACAAATGGCTGTCAGGGAGAAGATAGATAGCTGATCTGTACTTGTGTGTCTATGCCCTGTCCTGGTAACCACTGTCCTATCGTCTTTGTAACACTGTCCCGGTTGACAACTGTCTGTTCTGTGTGTCTGTGTGTGCATGGGAAGCAAACAGCACCTGGAGGAGGGCTGCCCAGGTGCCAGCAGCCAGTGGGACAGAGCCAGGGCAGCTGCTGGCAGTGTGAGTCAGTAAACGTGAACGGAAACATTCTGTGTATGTCCTGCTCAGCTGTTGGTGCTTCCTGTGCTAATCTGAGTGCTCAGTGTCTGTGAAGATGGACATGTATGGATGTGTATTTGTGTCTGTTTGTATATGCATGCATTACATCTGTGCAAGTTCCTCCGAAGGTAATGCCTCCTATTTATTTCCCTGGAATCTACAACAGATACAGTGAGCATAGTAACACTGTTTGATAGAACAAATTATCAGCTACAGAAGACAGATTTTCAGCATAGTCACCATTAGCTCTGCTTTTTCACCAGTGATGAACAAGAACCTGCATGCTGTGTTTGTATAAACTTGCACTGGCAGAGGTGACCCACTGTAGCCACTGCCACTGCTGAAACACAGCACCCACCCCTCCCTGTGCTCACATCCCCTCTTTGGTCTCCATCAGTGTTCACCAGCATCAGCGAATGGCACCCACTGATACTTCTTCTGCATAGAAGAATTTAATGACACCCCTCTGCTCCATACACACTCCCACGTCATGCACCATTCTGTCACACAGCAACAACACAACGGGATGTTGATGGGAAGGTTTGGCCTCTGCTGCCATCCCACCAACGTCTGTTTCTGGTGTTGTGAGCCAAGATCGTAAAACAGGAGGCAGTACTTTCAGAGCAGCCCTTGTAAATTATCTATATTTATTTTAAGTATATGTATGCCTACTGGGAGTGAACCCTCAGCCTCACTACCAGTTGGACCTGGGACATGGAGCCTGGGGCTGTTGGACCTCTAATGAGATTTTTTCCTCCGCCAGCTGGTAAGGGGTCAGGATGTCCATAAGGCAAGGCTGACATAACACACGTCTCTATTGGACCTGTATGCTCTGCCTGCCCACTGAGCGGGGTGCAACACTTTGTGCCACACACTCCCACTGTGATGGGACACATGGAACAGGAATAGGTGTGAGTGGGAAGGAGTTGGAAACACCCAGGGAGGGAAGCAGGATCAAAAGCTCCAACAGGGGAACAGCTACTGCTGGGAAGGGCTTTAGGAGGTGTTCTGGGAGCAGTTGTGACATGGAGCAAACTAGTGACCATGCTCCCATGCTGTGGGAAGCTCTTGTTGGTGACAGGTTTGGAGAAGGGCTGCTCACAATGCCTGGGGCAGCAGCAAGACCCTGCAGTGAGCCCCTGCAGCCCAGGCCCTGCAGTGCAGGGTGGCTGTTGTCAGACGGCCCTACCCACTGCCCTTCAGGGTGCCTTTATTTTTCTATAGCTGCTCCCACCTGGTGTGTTTTTCCAGAGTGACTCAGAGTGGAAGCTGAACTGAACACACATCATAAATTCAGCTCTGCACTGTTTACCTTTTGGTCCAGGCAATACAGGGTCTCCAGCTGCTCCTGCAAGAGACAAGAGGAAACGTTCATCGCAGGTGGCTCAAAGGGAGTGAATTCAGCTCCCCAGGCAGCTGCTCCTGCCCCTCCAGGTACATCCCAAAATGTACAGGAGAATGCTGGAAATGGCGCAGAGCCACGGTGCTCTCTGCTAACTGTCTTGGCTGGAGGCAGGGCCAGCAGTGCTCCCCGTATCTGCAGCAGGTTGCAGGCAAGAGATAAGTGCCTGTCCTTCTTGTGTAGGCTTTCTGTTTCCAGTCTGGGATCTTACAGATCCCAGATGCTGTTTAATACATTCACCCACCTCCTGCTGGGGGTTTCTGCTGAAGTCTTTGATTCTTTTGACTAGGAAATATGCACATATTCCACATGCAAAGGGATTGCTTTCCCAGCTGTTCAGTGTGTCACACTCAGTTTCTAGGCGGCACCTTGTGCTGGGAGCTGGAAGTAGCAGTTTGTTTCCAGAGACTGGGCCATGGCTTTGAATCCTTCAGTCCAACATGCTTTCATGAAGTTGTGCCCCCAGCTTGTGCAGAGCCAGAGGTGAAATAAGTCAGCTCCTGATTTTGGAGGTGGTCAGCCCATTCCTTCCTTGCTTCACCCCGTACCAGCTGTCTCCACTCCAGCAATAGGAGAATGAGGAGAGGTCTGATTTTATGGGACTGACAAGAGAAACTGTAAAGAAGAGCAATATCTTACTCTGAGATCCCACCCAAGGACGCAGTTCCCAGTACCCATCCCATGCGAGATCCACATCTCAAATTGCCCAACCTGTAGGACTTCAGGCTGTTTCTTAAGAGTTTCATTTCTGTAGATCCAGTTATCCTATGTACACCCTGGATTTTATGGATTAAAGCTAAATATATTATGGGTTACCTTTTGCACCGGGCGGTCCTGCTTTCCCAGGGGATCCCTTGATTCCCATTTCTCCTACAAGAAAAAACACTGTTCATATGTGTGCAATGCAGTGTGACCACAGGAAAGATCATACAGAAGTCGGGACAGCTGGGCCTCAACTTCTGCAAAAGCAAGAAAGCTTTTTTTTTTCATCAGATCATACTTGACAACGTATCTCACTCCATTTCTTCTGCTAAAGCTATATTATATTGGTACTGGGCAGCCTGATCGGGTGGTTGGCAAGCCTGCCCACAGCAAGGGGTTGGAATGTGATGATCTTTATGTTACCTTCCAACTCAAGCCATTCTATGACTCTGATTCTATGATACTGCCAGTCAAAGTCCTGATTTACAGCTCACATGTGAATTCCCATGAACTTTGCATACTCTGGAGCCAGTCTGTGGCTTCTGCTGCAGTGGAGCTGCTCCCTTACTGAGGTGATTCGCTTTCCCTATGAGTTGGCTGTGAAAAACTCCAGGGACTCCTATGGGTAGGGGTGTCCCCTTCACACATCTTTCTACAAACGAAAAAGCAGTCTGGTATCTTTGGAATCTTACCTTTTGTACCTGAAAGGCCTGGTTCTCCCTTTCGGCCAGCTGCACCTGGGATCCCTGGGCATCCTTGAAGAACAGCAAGTTGGTCTGCCTGCCCAAGTCCCACTATTTTCAGCTCTGCGTAAATGAAGACAATCATCCTGGAGATTATGGCGATTCTGAAATGTTTGGGATAAGAAGTTGAACCCTTTGGGCTTCAGAAACAGTGCGAAAGGCAAAGACAGGCAGAAGTCATGTCCTACCTGAGGATGGGAGCTCAGCGTGATTGTATGAGTTAACATTAGAAGAGAGAGGCATGGAACCTCTCTAACTTCAGAGGAGTTTACTGGGAAGAAGGCTGTTATATGGGATATTACACGCATGACAAAGGTACTATAGCTTGATAAAACAAAAGATGTGAGGTATCCTGTGGTGTATTGATGGCAAAGAGTGAATGGCAATGGCGAGTCTGGACTGTAAATGTTCTGTCCCATTTTATGACACTAGATCAGTTTCAAATCACACCTTTTGCCTTCCCGGGGAACGCAGACAGAAGACTGCATGGTGTGGTGTCCCTGGGCTGCCAGGTGCCAGGCACACAGCACGCACTGGATTGTCCCTTCATACAGCTCTGCATCCAGCAGAGCCCAGGGCAGATCCACAGATGGACATCTTGCACTGGGAACTGAAAGAATCGGGAAACCTGTTCCTGGAGACCCCACAGCTGAGGGGACTTCTGACCAGAGCCAGCAGCTTCGTAAGGCCGCAGCTGAGGCTTCGTCACCCACCCGCAGCCTTCCATCTGCAGCTGAATTCAAAAGGTGCATAGAAGGAAAAATCCTCCCCCAGGGCCTTGTAATGGCCCTTGTGCCAGGCAGGCGGACTGAACAGCCTGCCCCAGGCAGCAGGACTGGTGTGGCACTCACCTGGACAGGAATCCTGGGTGCTACAGGTGGTGGCTGATGCACTGAGCAGGACGGCGGCTGCCCTCCCCACCACTGCGCGCTGCGCTCTGCTCTCTGCTCCCTTTCCCTGTGCCCCAGGAGCTCTGGTTGGTACTGAGCTGTCAGGCTTTTACTGATCAAAAAATCCCGTGTAAGCTCCACCTCTGCGCTTGCCCATTGCCTGTGTTCCCAGTCTGTGTCTGCAGAGCTTCTTCCTTGACCGGCAGCTTCCCACAGACCCACAGAAAGCTCTCAGGCAGATGTTTCAGTTCACACAGGATTCAGGACTAATTTGGTGTTTAAACTCTGCGTATCTGGGACAGTGAGGTGGGAAGAGGATGGCTGATGTATTTTTCCCAGCTTTTATTCTCCTCAGTTCCCAATCAGAGTTAAACGTGAGGTGTTCAGTTTTGCTTCGCTGTTTCCACGTTATGCACATTTGTGGGAGCACTACACGAGGCTCAGACTGCCAAAGCAAATCAGACTCTTAGTAGCTTTGGATACAAAGCCCTTAAAGTTTATGAATATTAGCAGAGCGTTTAATTTAAGCTTTATCTCCTTATTCTTCCATCCGATCAGCGGAGACAGTGACTTCTTGGAGCTTTTCACAGCTATCAGGATATCAGAGGAAAAACCTCAAGCTTTCCTCAAGCATTCCCTTTTGCAATGAAGCCACTTTAACACTCCAAACTCAAAATGTAGATGAAAGCCTACTTTAATACTAAGCAAATGGGAGAAAGCAGGGGAGAGACAAGAGAAGTATGTGGTTCTCTCTTCAATTCGGTATCCCCAAATGAATCACATGCTGCAGGACACACAGACACTTTTGGAAGCAATGCATCACTGGCCAATGTAAGTTCAAAGTAGGTCAGGTCCCTGGAGGTAGTCTCTGAAATTGGCCTAGTGATCAATATGTCCTAAATTGCTTTTCCTCACCCTGTGGCCCAGTGAAGATCACACAGTGCTGCTGTTTACGCCATCAGAAGTCTTTTTTTCCTGTGTTCTCCTTTGAGCCCTGGGAAATGTCCTGTCAACCTCGAAAGCCCCGTATCACCTTGGAGATGCAGAAAGGAATTTAAAGCACATTGCGTGAAATAGGGACTGCCTCTGAACACTGCCAGTCATCTCTTCAACTCCAGAGATGTGAACATCCAGAGCGAGGTCTCCAGAACTGATTTGCAAAACCTCAAGCAAGCTTAGCAAAGCTTAGCAAATCAGAAGGCACAGATTGACAACAGATCTTCAAAAAGTGTGTGTGGGAACATGAAAACTACACAGCAGAGGATTTAGCACTGGTCAATGTGAAGTCACAGGTGAAATCCTGGCTCCTGCTTGGGTCCTGCTCTGTCCCATAGCTAAGGACATTGCTGTGCGACTCCTACAGCTGCCAGAAGGGCTGACAGCTGGGACTGGGGAGCTGAACGAGCAACTCTGTCAGCAATAACTCCAGGCAGTGTGAGATAGCAGCCTGAGAGTGTAAGAGATGATTCTTTTACATCATTGTCTCACAGCTTGCTGGGGACACAGATGAACGAGTCCAGGCAAGTCCTGAGCAAAGGCTGTGGAATCCTTTCTCTGGAGAACTTTGATGGACGAGTCCTGGGCAAGGGATGCGAAATCCTTTGTCTGGGGGACAAGATGGACAAGGCCGGGGGCAAGGAGGAGAGATGAACTGCAGCTGAATGGCTGTGAAGTGCTCTTTTGTGTGGACTTATCTCAGGACGATGGCCACCGTCATTGGCTCCGCGGCCGCCTCCTGCTGCCTGCTTGCTGCCCCAGGCCGCCAAGCTGCTGCTCGCCCCCCCCCCCCCCCCCCCCCCGCTGCTTCTGCCTCGGACCTTCAGACGCCGTGCTGCGGGACGCTGCTGGATCCTGGCGCTGACCATCCCCGCTTTACGCAATTCTTGCTCCTTTCCTGTCTTTTCTATCGCCCTCCTTCCCTTCCCCCTCCCCCGATTAGGATTTGTAATAAACTGGTTGGACCAACATGTGAACGGTTGTTTCTTAATCTCACGCCGGGTATACAGATATTAACAGAACCTCACCTCCCTCCTATAAATTGGAGCGAGACAGAGTCAGCCCCATGGGAGGTGCCTTTGGGGAGACTGGAAGACTTGCACTGCTAGGATGGAGTGCTCTGACCTTCTAGGGTAATGTATCATCTAAAGCAAAAAGGGGAGATCCGGGTTCCCCTTGCCTGGGCTGTGCTATTTACACCTCTTCACTATGTGCCAGTAACAAAGTTTTCAGGTGTCTTTTCGTGAACACTTACATTTCCAATGGATAATTTCTTTATTTCACTACTGATCTTACCATCTGTGCTGGGGACATTTGCCCAAACTAAGCAGTTTTTTCCAATGGATGTTACTTGGTTTTGCCTTTCTGCTTCTGAGTTTTGTAACTGCATTGTGTCTTCAAGTGCTCGAGTGCTTCACTGCTAGGGGCTGTGCTGTGCCTTTGGTTTGCACATGATGTGCACCGTAGCTTCCAGGAGATCCTGAGGCTCCAAAAAGGCACAGGTAAGTGGCAGAGTTTCTCAAGACAGTTTTGCTTACCAGGGGGAGAAAATGCAGGGAAACAAAGAGGAATTTCCTCCTGCTCATATCCTTGGCTTCACATGCTGTGCTGCTGAACAAAGTGTCACTCTGCTTTCCCAGGAAAGCTTCGATGGAAGTTCTGTGCTATCAGAAGAGCAGGCTGGTGGTTTCACTGGTCTTGACTGGTGCCCACATAACTGCCCTCCAGTGATGTCTGCTGTAGCACGTCTTTGTACTGAGCAGCCAGGCAGTGCAGTGATGTTAGAACATAAAGCATCCTCTTGAACCTGCATCTTCCTTTCCCCACATTTCCATAAATTGTTTGTTCAGGACACAGTGGTTTCCTCATTTCAGGAGTCAGTTAGGACACAAATCTCTCAGTTATTGCATGCCAGCTGCGTGGCCTTGCTGAGCATTTGCTTTGCTTCGCTTCCTCTGAGAGCTGCTGTCATGGAGCCGTTGCTTAATTCTCCCTGTGGTGATAAACAGAGGTTGCCTACAAGAAAGGCTTTCATTTTAGTGGTTCCTTTTCTACCAGCCTCTTTGTGAAACTCTGCTTCAGCTGGGTATTTTCTATTTCATTCCATTTTTAACATCTAGGAGCAGGTAGAACAGGCAAAGTTGTTATCTGTAAGGTAGGCAGAGGCAGCTTTTAACCCTCCATGCTATGATGAACCCCAACCTGTGGAAAGGTAACTCCCAAGCCCTTTTTCTTTGCTGATATTCTGGAAACTGAAAGTGTATATTTTTCATTAAAAACAAAGGAAATACAGAAGCTGATAAAGAGCTTAAGAGTTTTGTTTAAAGCTTGTTTCACAGGTTTAGTGCTCAGTGGAGGCTAAGGAAAACCTCCTGTTTGTTTTACTGTAAATTCATTTCAGATTGACTGTTTTCACAGAAAAATGTACGAGTTGGCTTCTCAAATAAGGTAGCCCATGGCATCCTAGGAGCAGCACTGCTTAAGACATAGATGACATACGTTCTGAATCGCTGTGACCTCTCCAGGCCAACAGCCCGCAACCCAGTGATCTGCAGTGCTTGACTTCCTGCGCTGCTCGTGTGCACCATGGAATCCTGCCACAAAAGGGTCTGTTTAATTAAAGAGGAGGCACAGGGCGTTCTTTCTCTGCTTGCTCTTCATCAAGAGGAAAAATGACTCCACTTGCAATTTTTCCCCCTCTTGCCCTTAAGTCTCTGCTTAGACTCACAGTGCCTAAAATCACTACAATCACCCCAAATACCATCCTTCTTTGGGAGACAAAGTTTTCTGCCCTCTTTGGGCAGCTGTTTTCTGAACGCAGTGAATGCATTACAGATTTAAAATGTGTCACACGAGTCACTGTAACTCAGAATAACTCAGAAGATGAAATAGGAACAAAACAAGCCCAAGCTGCTGTGCTCAGAAGCGGGAAGGCAGCCTCCTCCAGCAGCCCTGGCCCCAGACCCTCCTGCCGCCCCAATTCTCTGCCCGCCCCAACTCGTGTTGCTGCACGCTCACCGCACCGCGCGCCCCCAAGGCGCACCCGAAGGCCTCCGGACCGCCCGATCCCCCGGCCCGGACCAACAACCCCCCGCACACCAGCTGGCCCGGCCCAAAGGACCGCGTACAGCAGGAAGACGGACAGGCTGCGCGAGGCACACGGTGCCATGCCAGCCGCCGCTGGCCGTGGGCGCCTTGCAGCCACCAGGTGCCAGCCGGCAGCTCACAGCCCCAGCGGCCTGTCTGCAGGATGGGGCACCCCGCCTCTCCGCGCAGCGCCTCACGCTGAAGGGCTTTTCCCTTACGCCCGCTCTACATCTCCCCGCTTTGACTTTGAAGCCGTTGCCCTTTCCGCAATCACACACACACGGCCCGGGCCGCCCCGCCTCCTCCCTCTGCGCCGCGCTCTCCCTCACGGCTTCCGCAGGACCGCCGCGCGGCCCGGTCCCGCTCTGAGGTGACGGGGCCGCCGCCGTTCCGGACGCGCCGCCGGTCTCCGCGGCAACGCGCCGTGCCGCAGCGGGGGCCATGGCGGACGGTCCGCCCGCGGCCGAGGAGCGGCGGTGGCACTGCGAGGTACTGCGGGCGCGGGAGGTGCCGGAGCTGCCGCTGACAGCCGTTGGTCCCTGTCGTTCTATGATTGCTGTTCGCTTGGGATGTGAAATTTCACCGCTGCTTGCTGATGAGGAGCGAGTCTCTTGGAGCAGCAGCTGTGTTCATTACAAAGCGCGTGGTGTCTAAAGGTTGGATCTGCAGCGGCTTCAGCCGCAGCTGCGGACTGCATGCAGGTTGGAGGTGCAGATGAGCAGCAATCTGTGCTTTTTAAAAAGCCCCGAGTCGTTCCGTGGTGACGCGGTGCTGCTTGGTGCAGCAGCTGCTGGCTGGGGCAATTCTGGCCAGTTCTGCCCGAATTTTGAAGCTTGTGAGTAAAATGGGCTTGAGATCTGTTGAGATCTTGAAATCTCTCCATGTTTCAGTTTACTGCCCCTTGTTAGTCCAGTAAGAGCTGAATAATGCCCTATTTCTGTCCTC